CTCACCTTCGCCGTTGATCTCACCTTCGCCGTTGATCTCACCTTCGCCGTTGATCTCACCTTCGCCGTTGATCTCACCTTCGCCGTTGATCTCACCTTCGCCGTTGATCTCACCTTCGCCGTTGATCTCACCTTCGCCGTTGATCTCACCTTCGCCGTTGATCTCACCTTCGCCGTTGATCTCACCTTCGCCGTTGATCTCACCTTCGCCGTTGATCTCACCTTCGCCGTTGATCTCACCTTCGCCGTTGATCTCACCTTCGCCGTTGATCTCACCTTCGCCGTTGATCTCACCTTCGCCGTTGATCTCACCTTCGCCGTTGATCTCACCTTCGCCGTTGATCTCACCTTCGCCGTTGATCTCACCTTCGCCGTTGATCTCACCTTCGCCGTTGATCTCACCTTCGCCGTTGATCTCACCTTCGCCGTTGATCTCACCTTCGCCGTTGATCGCACCTTCGCCGTTGATCTCACCTTCGCCGTTGATCTCACCTTCGCCGTTGATCTCACCTTCGCCGTTGATCTCACCTTCGCCGTTGATCGCACCTTCGCCGTTGATCTCACCTTCGCCGTTGATCTCACCTTCGCCGTTGATCTCACCTTCGCCGTTGATCTCACCTTCGCCGTTGATCTCACCTTCGCCGTTGATCTCACCTTCGCCGTTGATCTCACCTTCGCCGTTGATCTCACCTTCGCCGTTGATCTCACCTTCGCCGTTGATCTCACCTTCGCCGTTGATCTCACCTTCGCCGTTGATCTCACCTTCGCCGTTGATCTCACCTTCGCCGTTGATCTCACCTTCGCCGTTGATCTCACCTTCGCCGTTGATCTCACCTTCGCCGTTGATCTCACCTTCGCCGTTGATCTCACCTCCGCCGTTGATCTCACCTCCGCCGTTGATCTCACCTCCGCCGTTGATCTCACCTTCGCCGTTGATCTCACCTTCGCCGTTGATCTCACCTTCGCCGTTGATCTCACCTTCGCCGTTGATCTCACCTTCGCCGTTGATCTCACCTTCGCCGTTGATCTCACCTTCGCCGTTGATCTCACCTTCGCCGTTGATCTCACCTTCGCCGTCGATCTCACCTTCGCCGTCGATCTCACCTTCGCCGTCGATCTCACCTTCGCCGTCGATCTCACCTTCGCCGTCGATCTCACCTTCGCCGTCGATCTCACCTTCGCCGTCGATCTCACCTTCGCCGTCGATCTCACCTTCGCCGTCGATCTCACCTTCGCCGTCGATCTCACCTTCGCCGTTGATCTCACCTTCGCCGTTGATCTCACCTTCGCCGTTGATCTCACCTTCGCCGTTGATCTCACCTTCGCCGTTGATCTCACCTTCGCCGTTGATCTCACCTTCGCCGTTGATCTCACCTTCGCCGTTGATCTCACCTTCGCCGTCGATCTCACCTTCGCCGTCGATCTCACCTTCGCCGTCGATCTCACCTTCGCCGTCGATCTCACCTTCGCCGTTGATCTCACCTTCGCCGTTGATCTCACCTTCGCCGTTGATCTCACCTTCGCCGTTGATCTCACCTTCGCCGTTGATCTCACCTTCGCCGTTGATCTCACCTTCGCCGTTGATCTCACCTTCGCCGTTGATCTCACCTTCGCCGTTGATCTCACCTTCGCCGTTGATCTCACCTTCGCCGTTGATCGCACCTTCGCCGTTGATCTCACCTTCGCCGTTGATCTCACCTTCGCCGTTGATCTCACCTTCGCCGTTGATCTCACCTTCGCCGTTGATCGCACCTTCGCCGTTGATCGCACCTTCGCCGTTGATCTCACCTTCGCCGTTGATCTCACCTTCGCCGTTGATCTCACCTTCGCCGTTGATCTCACCTTCGCCGTTGATCTCACCTTCGCCGTTGATCTCACCTTCGCCGTTGATCTCACCTTCGCCGTTGATCTCACCTTCGCCGTTGATCTCACCTTCGCCGTTGATCTCACCTTCGCCGTTGATCTCACCTTCGCCGTTGATCTCACCTTCGCCGTTGATCTCACCTTCGCCGTTGATCTCACCTTCGCCGTTGATCTCACCTTCGCCGTTGATCTCACCTTCGCCGTTGATCTCACCTTCGCCGTTGATCTCACCTTCGCCGTTGATCTCACCTTCGCCGTTGATCTCACCTTCGCCGTTGATCTCACCTTCGCCGTTGATCTCACCTTCGCCGTTGATCTCACCTTCGCCGTTGATCTCACCTTCGCCGTTGATCTCACCTTCGCCGTTGATCTCACCTTCGCCGTTGATCTCACCTTCGCCGTTGATCTCACCTTCGCCGTTGATCTCAATCCATGTTAACCAAGCCTTAGCCATTGACCCTGCCTTCCTCTCATTTCCACCCTGTCTCGTGCTCATGTCTATTTCCACCTTCTCCCACTCCCTACTTCCTCCATCTTCTCCATCTTCTCCATCTTCTCCATCTTCTCCATCTTCTCCATCTTCTCCAACTTCTCCATCTTCTCCATCTTCTCCATCTTCTCCATCTTCTCCATCTTCGCCCTCTCCCTACTTCCACCGTTGATCTTATCCGGTACTCGCCTCACCTTCGCCATTGATCTCGTGGTTGTTGGAGCATCGTCCGTGCAGCGTCGCCTTGATGCCCGTGGACGTGTGGATGTGCTCGAGATATGAGTCCTGTGCGTGCGTGTGTGTGTGGAGGGGAGCAGAGATAAGAAACATAACCACGTGATAAAAGAGTTGTTTTGAGACGTCTCAAAACAACATTGAGGTTTCGCGGCGCTTCTTCCCATGCAGCGTCGCCTTGATGCCCGTGGACGTGTGGATGTGCTCGAGATATGAGTCCTGCATGCGTGTGTGGAGGTGGGGGGGAGAGGGGAGGGGGAGGAGGAGAGAGAAAGAAAAGAAAAAAACACATCAGAGAAGCATGGCCCGCTGAGGCTTAGTTCCATGCAGAAAGTTTCAGAGAAGCCTCAGCGGAAGTAAGCAGCAGAAGTGAGCCTCAGAAACGCAAACTTTTTTATCATATTCACATGAACCCGTGAATGTGTTCCGCAGGCGAGGTCTGCAAACTTGGGTTTGATAAAAAAAAAAAAGGGCGCAAAGAGATTTTTTAGACGAGTCTAAACTAAAGTCGTACAAGTCCTGCACATTTAAGTGGGGAAAGAAGGATGCATGAGATGTAAATTGCGGATGAGAGAGAAAGACTGCCGACCAAACAGCCCCAGCAGTACCATACCAACCCATCCATCACTATACCTGCTAAATCAACTCACATTGGGTCCTCTGATGCGCCCAGAAGCATCAAACTTGCGAGTCGGCTCGAACCGACTGCTCGAAGTCGGCTCGAACCGACTGCAAACAACAGCACGATTTTACTGCCCGGAGGGATAGACCCAGCAGAAGCCCTAACCCCACCACACCGCCCAGACCCCACCCCCACCCCCCTCACCCCCACCCCCACCCCCCTTTGCTCTTCCTGTTCATTAGTGAACTCACATTGGGTCCTCTGATGCGCCCAGATGCGTCGAACTCGCGGGTAGGCTCAAACCCCGCAAACACCAGCACGATGTTGCTGCCCGGGGGGATGGACCCAGCAGAAGCGGACGGGGCGCCATACCCCTCCCCATACGCCCCAGCAGGGGGCGCGCCATAGGCGCCACCAGGGGGAGGTGCACCTGGGGGAGGCGCATATGCCCCAGCAGGGTAACCCCCAGCAGCGGGAGGATAAGCAGGCGGAGGGTACTGCCCATACTGCCCAGGCGCCTGAGGGGGGTATTCACCAGTAGCACCCTGCGGGGGAGGGCTATACCCAGGGGCACCCTGAGGCGGATACGGGGCAGCAGGAGCACCAGCAGGAGGGGGGTAGCCTGGGTAACCGTGGGGGGGAGGAGGGCCATACGCGGGGTCATAGGTCCCTGGGGGAGGGGCGGGATATCCCCCAGGGGGGGGAGCACCATAGGGGGGAGGCTGACCCTGAGGAGGGTAGGACCCAGGTGGGTAAGAACCAGGCGGGTAGGACCCGGGGGGGTAGGACCCGGGAGGGTAGGATCCGAGGGGAGGTGCGTACTGGGGAGGGGCGCCATACCCTCGTGTCCCTGTCCCTGTCCCTGTCCCTGTCCCTGTCTTGATCGCGGTCCCTATCCCTGTCCCTGCCTCGGTCCCGATCCCTGTCCCTGTCTCTGTCCCTCCCATACCGATCCCGATCCCTGTCTCTCTCCCTGTCCCTGTCTCTGTCCCTGCCCCTGTCACTGCGCCCATACGGATCGTAGCTCTCTCTTTCCCGCCCCCTGCCCGCCTCGTGCTCCCTCTCATGCCGCCCGGCCCATCCCGCCCTGCCGCCGTCACGGGACGATCTCGACCGCTCGTCACGCCACGGCGGACGGCCCGGATCGGCCCGATCGGGGGCCTGGGTCCTGGGCTGCTCTCCTGGCCGTAGATTCATGATGTCCTCGATCATACGGACGGCTGCGTCCACCATCCGCTGCTTCTCCTCAGGCGTCTTGGCCTGCACACGTGGCAGCAGCAGGGGAGGACAAGGGAGGGAGAGAGAGAAGATGGAGAGGGGGGAAGGAGGATGGGAAAACGGGAAAGGGGGGAAGGGGGGAGGGGAAAAGGGGAAAAGAGGGAAATGGGGAAAGGGGTAGATGAAAAAAAAGGGGGGGATATAGTAGCAGAGAGAGGCAAGAGAGACGTGTAATGGCAGAGAGGCATAGGGCAAGAAAAGGACTTTGATAGAGAGAGGCGAGCAGAGCAGAGCAGACAGGTACCTCAAGAAACAAGCACAATCGCAGAGCAGACAGGTACATCCTTACTACAAGGAAGGGAGACGACCTTTTTGAGTTTTAGGGTCAGAATTACGGGAGACTGGGAGACGGGAGGCAGGGAGACTTGACTTGATGCATGGAGGCGAAGGAAAGGAGTACCTCGGTGGAAGGAGACACATGCAGATACAACGGACGGTCACGATTCTTCGGATCGTTTATGTTGCAGAACTTGCCCCTGGGGTGAAGGCGGGCGGGCATGCAAGCAGGCGGAGAAGGGGGAGGGGACGATGAGGAGAAACAGAAATGGGGGAAAGGAAGATGAGTGGTGATGGACATGCGGGCGGGAAGGGCATTTGAACAAATGAGGCGTGGGAGAACAACGGGGGAAGCTGAGAGCAACACTTGGGAAGGACATGACAATGACATCAAAAAATCATGCATGCGACATAACATGGCAAGAGACACAACAAAACGCGCGTCTCAGAGCGAGTGAGCGCGTACCTTGTGGAAATGACTGCGCCCGTCTTGCGGTGAATCTGCAGTTGGGAACAAGCGCGGGCGGACGCAGCAAAAGATGGGAAGGGGTGGTACGGGGTGGGAAAGGGTGGCACGGGATGGGAAGGGGTGGCACGGTATGGGAAGGGGTGGCACGGTATGGGAAGGGGTGGCACAGGTAAAACACGGGATGGCACGGGATGGCACACAGGCACGAGGAGCACGAGGAGAACGATGCAGAAACACGGACGCCGAGGGAAAACACCACATGCTTCCTATCAAGACTAAAAACTCCTGAGGCGCCTCAAAAACTGCGGGTAGAGAGACGACTTTGGAGGCTCCTCAAAAGAAACACAGACGCAAAGGCTAAGACACACATGCTTGCCGCTAGGGCTAAACACACTCGTACTCTCATCATCGCCCTAATCCCTCTAATCACCCGCACACTTTCTCCGTCGAAACAGTAAACAACAGAAATTAGGGTTTTGCGACAAGTGTCAACGAACGAGGCAGACCATGCGCGTGTGGAAAATCTCTCACATCGTTTTGAGTGCCGCGGCGCGTGAGCTGGTAACGCACGTTAGGGTTACACTCGTTAATCACCACCTCCTTCACAATCTCCTCTGGCGGCGGTTTTCCCGGCGGCCCAGCCGCCGCTGTTTCCGGCTTTCGCTGCACGCCTATCCCGCGCTTCGCTAACTCCTCGTTCACTTGCCGAGCCATCATCTCAGCCCTGGCCTTGGCATCGTCCAGGTTTGGCATCGCCGGACCTGGAGCTGCCGAGCCAGCAGTAAGGCCCGGGATTTGGCCTGACATCATGCCCGGCATTCCCAAGAGGGAAACTCCTGTAGGGACGGGTTTCCCCGCGGCTGCTAGCGACGCGGCGACGGCGGCTGCGGCGGCGATTGCGGCGGGGGAAGTTCCGGAAGGGATGGTGGAGAGCGCTGCGGCTGCTGCTGCTGCTGGATCTGCCGCTTGATCCCATTTGCTCCGCTTTCTGGGAGGTTAATAGAAAATCAGAAATCGAAGAAGAGACGGAAGTAGGAGGGGAGGGGGGAGGAGGTTTGGATCCAGGACAGCAGGCGAGGGAAAAGAAGGAAAAAAAAAAGGAAAAAAAGAAAGGAAAATAAAAAGAGAGAGAGAGAGAGGGGGAGAAAGTTTGAGAAGCACATATGGTTCATACGGACTTATCCCTCGTTGAGGAAACTGTAAGCGCAGATGGCGAGAACGGAAAGATGCGACGACGAGACATCCGCAAGGGAAGAAAAAAAACACGGAAAACCCCCATAGGAACGATGTACGCACTTGTCAGTGGAGGAGTCCGCCATGGTGTGAACGGATTGAATGGAGGAAACTAGAAACAAAGTTGTTTGACCAGAAGAGAAGTGCGTGTCACCTCAGGCATTCAAACGGGCCTGTTCGAGCAAGCACCGTACTAAACCGAACTGATTGTATTTTTAAACGTTTTGTACCTAGCTCAACTCCCAGGATTTCAGACAGCTGGTTACCACCTGCTGTGACACGCCCTGATTGATGAGGCAGATGGCAGGAAGTATGAGGAGGGTGGTCAGATTACCGCGATGAAAAAATCAAGCAAGTAAAACGGAAGTATATGAAGCATGGTTTAGCTCACAAGAAGTTGATAATGCCATTGAATACATTGTAGCGTACGTTAAATAAAAGACATCGATACACGAATTCATACTCGTTACAAGGCTGATGACCATATTGGTGAACTTCAAGCTTGATTCGGGTTTGATGGCGACGGGGGAAACGACTTTGGCCTTTCGACTGCAAATGAGATGGCATCATGGCATGGCCCTTGCTTGGACAAGCTTGCGGGGAAAGCTTGTCCCCTGCAATTTGGATTCAAATCTGCTCCATCTGTCGTTTACTTGTTGTCGTGTAGCTCGAACAACGGCCTGCTCTCCATGCTCTCCAGTCAGCTGATAAGTTGACTGTGGCACGTGGTGAACAAGCGCCTTGATTTCGCGGCTTGCTGAAAACGCATGCGTTGCTGCCAAAGGAAATTCTTGCTTTGAACCAATCGTGGACTGACACAATGCTGCCCGTGGACCAAATGCTTGTGACATTTTCAAGCCGGTCAGCCACGCTTAACAGCTCGAATCGCAGGATATTATTTTTACGTAATTTCCCGCGTAATTTTGCATCGCTCCCACTCCCATCACCCCGCCTTGTCCGTGCCACCACCAACCAACCATACTCCACACCACACGAAGACGCGAACCTTCCTACCACATTACGTCAGATGGCGGACGACTGACTATCCCGCCTTTCGAAACGAAACCTCTGGAGGGCGCGGTAAACCTTTCCAACATCACTTGTTCGTCAAACCAAACCTCTTCCCCACGCCCCCTGGAGCTACCCCCAATTCCCCCGAATCTTTCCCCCCGTTTCCTCGAGTCGTTCCCCCAATTCCCTCGACCCAACCTTCTAGAACCATCTCCGCCAAACGTCACTTGACGGCATGCCCTTCCCTGTACTCTCACTTCCCTGTCACTCTCTGCTGCGCATACGTATGTCCCTTCGGACATCCCTAGTCGCCCGCATCCACTTTCAGTACAAATCCACGCGAGCTTCATTAGCAACTCAATCTTCAATCAAGTCCTCGATCTAGCAGAAAATTTCCCACATCCATCCCTTACCTGCACTGACGAGCCAAGATTTTCATCGCTTTCCCTCTTCTCTGCTAAACTGACATCTTTCCGCCGAAGTCGGCCGCTAGATGTCCTTTTAGCTGAGCAAGCAGGCGACTCTCCTCACGATTTGAATTTGACCTTTTCACCACGTCTTTCCAATGGCAACCGTTGGCAACCAAGCTGTTTCCTCCTTCCACGGGGCAGCCTTCGCCCATCCCCTCACGCACGACGTCAGCATCTTGAGATCCAACGCGGCGCTGGGCGACGCGCTGGCGACAGCGGAGCGAGCCATCGCAGGCCTCGCCCAGGTCGTCGACGTCGTCAAGCGTCGCCACTCCGCGCCGTCGCAGTTTCCTTCACTCGCCGCCCCTCCGCCGCCGTTCCATATTTATCAGCCGCTGCCATTCCAAGCCAGCTATGTCCCGTGCGCCGCTCCTCTCCCCGCATCTGCCGCCGCATCTCCCGCGTCCTCTTCCGTCTCCCAGCATTCCGCCGCCCCCCGCCCGCGTGTCGCCATTCCCCGCTCAAGCGCCGTTTCCGACTCCAAGCGCAGCGCGGCGGCGCTCGCGACCACCTCGAGACCCGCGCCGCCGCGTGCGAAGCGGGCTAAGCGCGCCAAGCCCTCCGCAACCCCTGAATCTGCTCCGCCCTCGCTCGTCCCTTCCAGCGGCTCCGACTGCGAGTCGGAGACAAGCGGCTCGTCAACATCGCCGAAAATTGAAGCTCCCGTCGCAGGAGCCGTCGCAGAAGCGGTCGCCGGGCCCCGGCCCGTCGCATACAAGGGCGTGCGACAGCGCAAGTGGGGTAAGTGGGTGTCGGAGATCCGCGAGCCCAACAAGCGCACCCGCATCTGGCTGGGGTCGTTCGACTCGGCGGAAGACGCCGCGCGCGCCTACGACGTCGCCGCGCGCCTGCTGCGCGGATCCCAGGCTTCGCTCAACTTCCCCGGAGATCAATCCCACTCCGTTCCGCTCCCGTCCGCGACGGCAGAGGCGCTTCTGAAGGCGAGCCGCGAGGCGGCGAAGACGTTCGATACGACCGACGTTGCTGATGTGCTGGAAAAGTCGCTGCTTGCTACTAACGGAACTCTTCTTGGCGCGGATGTTACGATTCAGCTCCCGCAGGCTGGCCAGGCGGGAAAAGATGCTACAGATGCAGCTGTAGCCGCGGCGGGCGGCGCTGCTACAGCGGAGGTCTCTTCCAACTCAGATCTGACAACTAACAGCGTGTTTGACGATATTCCCACTGATTCGATCTCCGCCATTGATGCCTTCTCCGCGCCTCTCCGCAGCGCCAGTGAAGTCAGCATTGCCTACAGCGAGAGTGACAGTATCGAGTCGCTCCTGACGGATCTGGAGGAGCAACACGGCGCTGAGCTGGCGCTGAAGGCAGAGTTGTCAGTCGGCGAGAACAGCCTGTTCCACGGTGTCATGGAAGATTTTGACCTGGCAGCAGCTTGTGGGGACGTTGAAGGGTTTGAGGGTGCTGCTGACTTCAGCATAAACCTGTGGGCGTGACGTAGACGTGTTTAGTTGCGGAATGGGAAAACCTGTGTATCCAGATTCAGGATCAAGATGGGTTGTGTCGTTGGGGTTTCAAAGGTAGGGTTTGGCTCATGGGTTGTGTGACATGTCCTCTCGGTCTGGGATGGTCTGTGTGTGGTTCATAAGGCTGTGCAGGGTATCATGTGGCTACTCGCTGAAGAGAATCATGGAGGGAGCACAGCCCGTGGCACGCGGATACTCTAGCGTCACCACCTTACGGTCTTGTGCTGTGCTAGCTCTATGATTCCGGTCACATGATCCTCTGCATGATGTAACTTCTAGTAGGCTGTTTTAGTAAGGTTCTTTGATGTCTATCCATCTCTGTTTCTCACCTAATTGAAGTGCTCAACTCTTCAGCTTCAACTCCATAATGCTACTGTAAGGGTTTTTGTACTTAGTATGGCATGCGTGTCAGTCATACATTTATTTGTTCGATTTGAAAAACACGGCTGTGATGCGGATACCGCGTCCCTCGTATTGCACCACCGAAACTCCCAGCGCAGCAGCTACCTCCCCACCTTCACGAACACAGCGAATGGTAGCCAAACCAAAAACAATCATCCTACGAGCCACGTCAGCGGGACCAGACTTGATTGCTTTGAGAGACCAGAGACCGAATCGAACCCAACTTAACCACGAAGAAACAGAGCCAGCTGCCCTTCACACCACCACACCAGGTCTACAGTACACGCAAGCAACGCGGCCAGCATGGATAGGCTTGGCCGGGTGGGGCAGGGGCAAAAATAGTGCATCGAGTACTGTACCAAAACATCGTGAGGCTGTCCGCTGTCGGCTGTGCTGTCGTGCGTGCATTGCATGCACTGTGCTCCCGTAACTCCCCTCTCCCCCTCTCTCCCCTCCCTCTCCCCCGTAACACTAGCCTGAGAGTCTTCTGACTCCCTCGCTTCCTCCACACCCCACCCACAGTTGCCATAGTTGCTTGTCTGGTTCGCTAGTCCAACCGGAATGTTTAGGGTGATTGCATAGCGATAATGAATGCAGTATCAGGAGGAGCAACGAGCTGACGACGGCCGGAGTTCAACCCAGTGCCGCTGCTGCCTCCCCTTGCGATCATATCACAACGGCGCAAGCGGCGCAATGCTCTTGCGATGAAATCACAACGTAAAGTTTGACAGACTTGGCGTCATTCGCGAACCGTCATTTGCGATCAACTGCGATAGGTTCCCCTAGAAACAACAGCTGACTCGACTGGTAACATATACCAGCGAATCGCGTAGTACTCGCTAACAGCCTATTCGTTATGGTTGCGCGAAACCAGGGGCGTGCGGGCGCCGCAGGTACCGCGGGTAACGCGGGGAATCAGCAGAGATCTCCTCAGGAGATTCCTCATAGCATCTTACGCTCCATGATGACGTCAGCGGTGTCGCATTCGCAGGTTCCTACTAGCGTCACACCCGCCATAGATCTGGCCAGCGCTAGTAGCATTCTCGCGCTCCTTAATCCGGATCTAGCGACCGCGCAGCTCGGGGGAATGGCGCAAGCTGGTAACGGCGGACGCGGCGGTACTGGTGTTAGCGGCGGCATTAGCGGGGGTACGAACGGCGGTATTCGCGGTAGCGGCGGTAGCGGAGCGGGGCATATGGTGCCGGCGGCGGCACGAGCAGCACCACATTCCGCGCCGTCAGTTCCGCCGCCGCGCCCGCCGGCGGCGGTGTGGCCGGCAGCTCAGCAGATTGGGCCGCATCTGACGGCTAGCTGGGGAAACATGGGGCTCGAGACGGGCAATGCACTCGTTCTAAGCAATCGCGGTTCCGTTATAAGCATACCAGGTGGTAGTAACGGGGATAGGTCGTTGGGGAGTGGCGATACCCAATGTGGCACATGGGCCCTGGGGCAGGTAGGTTTGTCCGCTGGAAATAACGATAGAGCTTTCCAGGCTAGTCAGCCAGCTGCACAGAAATTACTCGGTCAGGTGAATTCTCAGGTGAATCATCAGGTGCCTGTTCCGCGCCCTCTTTCAGAGTTGCTTCTGGCCCAGTATCTTCTGGGTCAGCAGCAGCAGCAGCAGCAGCAGCAGCAGCAGCCTCTAGGCAGTAGATTAGATTCGCCCAGCCTACATTTCCCAGGCACCAGCACCACAGCGGCAGTGAATTCGACAAATCTTGCCGCCCGCGCGGTTTACAAAATCCCCTCTGGCACGAGCAGCGGCACTAGAGGCGGCAGTGCGGTGCAAATGAGCCTAGGCAACACGTCCTTCTCGTTACAGTCACAGCTCAGCCCCATGTCCGGCAACTTGTCCCACTCGTTACAGTCACAGCCCAGCCCCATGTCAGTGGGAGCAGTGTTTGATGCGCCACAGCGCTTGATACAGTCACAACCCAGCCCCATGTCAGTGGCAGCAGCTTTTGACGCGCCTCAACGCTCGTTACAGTCACAACGCAGCCCCATGTCTGTGTCTGCTGCGGAGTACCTTGATCTCGCTGCGTCCGCCTCTCTTCCCCAAGCCAGCAGCCCTTCCCTCTCGTCCCAGCCGCCACTGCCGCGCGCCACCACAGTAGGAGCAGATGCAGGAGCAGGAGCAGGGGCAGGGTTAGGAGCAGGAGTAGGAGTAGGAGCAGGAGGAGGAGGGGCAGCAGGAGCAGCAGCAGGAGTAGGGTTTTTAGCAGAGGGCCGCTTTGGAAGCAGGCTTGGCATGGGCATGGGGGCAGGGACGGCTATGGTCGCTGGTAGGTCTGCGTCAGCAGAGGGCATGCGTCCGTTGAGCTTGTATGCTGGGGGAGGAGCAGCAGTTGGGGGAGCCTTGCCAGCATTAGCGCCAGGAACCGCGGTGCCATTAGCATCAGTGGCAGCAGCAATGCCAGCAGTAGGCATGCGCCCGTTGGGTATGGTTGGTGCGGCCGAAGCGCCAGCTGGGCCTGGGGCATTAGCAGGAGGAGTGCCAGCAGCAGCAGTGCCATTAATGGGGGTAGCTCCACCAGCAGCAGCAATGCCAGCAGCAATGCCAGAAGCAGCAATGCCAGCAGCAATGCCAGAAGAAGCAATTCCAGCATCAATGCCAGAAGCAGCAATGCCAGCAGAAGCAGCAATGCCAGAAGAAGCAGCTGTGGCAGCCGAAGTGCGATCACTAGAGGCCCTAGAACGGCTTCTGAATCTAGACTCCTCGTCTTTGCCCCATACATCTTCTCTTCATGCGCCTTCGGAGAATTTCCAGAACGCTGAAAGCTCGAGTGAGCAGATGCAAGAGCAGATATTGGATTTAGACTCGGCTGCTGCGCTGCTGGGGCGAGTGGAACGGCTGAGAGCACAACTGGTGGAGCGGAAGCGGCTGCTTGAACAACAGTCGATGATGCAGCAGCAACAGCAGCAACAGCAGCAACAGCAGCAGCAGCAGCAGCAGCAGCAGCAGCAGCAGCAGCAGCAGCAGCAGCAGCAGCAGCAGCAGCAGCAGCAGCAGCAGCAACAGCAGCAGTTGCAGCAGCAGCAGCAGCAGCAGCAGCAGCAGCAGCAGCAGCAGCAGCAGCAGCAGCAGCAGCAGCAGCAGCAGCAGCAGCAGCAGCAGCAGCAGCAGCAGCAGCAGCAGCAGCAACAACAGCAGCAGCAGCAGCCACAGCAGCAGCAACATCAGGAGGTGCAGCAGCTGCAGCAGCAGCAGCAGCAGCAACAGCAACAACAACAACAACAGCAGCAACAACAGCAGCAGCAGCAGCAGCAGCAGCAGCAGCATCAACAAGAGCAGGGCGAGGTGTTTCTCCAGCAGCTGCAACAGCTGCAGCAGAGAGAGCTGCAGGCGCTGCTGCTAATGCATCTGCAGAAAGAGATGCTGGAGCAGCAGAAACGTGTGCACGCTCAGGGGCAGGAGCAGGAGCAGGAGCAGGAGCAGGAGCAGGGGCAGGGGCAGGGGCAGGGGCAGGCGCAAGGGCAGGGGCAGGGGCAGGGGCAGGGGCAGGCGCAAGGGCAGGGGCAAGTGCAAGGGCAAGGGCAAGGACAAGGGCTGGGCCAGGGGAAGGGGAAGGGGCAGGGGCAGGGGCAGGGGCAGGGGCAAGGGCTGGGCCAGGGGCAAAGGGAGGCCACGGCGCAGCAGGCACAGCTACCACTACAGCAAGCAGTCCAGCTACAGCCGTCACAGCATCACATGCTGCAACAGGTTCAGCTACAGCCGCCCCAGCAGCAGGTGCAGCAACAGGCACAGCTACAGCCGTCACAGCATCACATGCAGCAACAGGCTCAGTTACAGGCTCAGCTACAGCCATCACAGCAGCAGGTTCAGCTACAGCCATCACAGCAGCAGGTTCAGCTACAGCCATCACAGCAGCAGGTGCTGGCACCGCAGACACTAGCAGATTTGCAGCGAATGCTATTGGCTGGAGGGTTTAACTCACCCCTTCTGGCATCCCTCCAGCAGCTACAACCACAGAGGCAGTCACAGCAAGAGATTCAGCCACAGCTGCAGCCACAACCACAAAATCAGGGTGTAGCAGCACAAGGGGTAACACCTGCTGTGCAACCTGCTGTGCCACCTGCTTTGCCACCTGCTGTGCCACCTGCGTTGCAACCTGCCGTGGGAGCTATGGGAGGAATGACAGTGGTTCCTGTTGGGTCACCACCTCCAGAAGCAGTGAGAGCACCATCGACAGGGGGTATTTATCATACTTCCCCAGCGTCCACCGGGCAAATTGCACGAGCAGCAGATGCAATGGAGTGGAACAGCCCAATCCGTAGCGCAACAGCATCAGCAATGGCATCACCTCCGAGGTTTGAGGCGTCTCAAAACCCAATCCGTAGCATAATACCCTCAGCAGTGGCATCGCCCCCGAGGTTTGAGGCGCCTCAGAACCCAATCCGTAGCATAATAGCCTCGGCAGTGGCATTGCCTCCAGAGTCTATGAGTCTCAGTGCTGGCGATTTGCCATCCAACACATCAGCAGCAGCAACAACAGCAACAGCAGGAGCAGTGGTGTCAGTAGCAGCGCCAGGGGTTATGGGACTCAGTTCGGACGACTTTCCCCCCAACACATCAGCAGCAGCAGCAGCAGCAGCAGAGGCATCGGTTCCTGGGGTTTTGAGCCTGAGTGCCAATGAGCTGCCGCCGAACCTGGCAGCAGCAGTGGAGGAATTGCAGCGAGTCCTGGCGTCCTCCCAGCAGCAGCAACATCGGCACTCCCAGCAGCACACACAGGAGCAGCAGCAGCAGCAAATGGAGCAGCAGACACAGCAGGGGCAGGAGGACAGACAGAATGGAGGGGGCGTGGGCGGTTTCGGTGTGATTGTAAATGAGGAGGGTCTATCGAAAGGCACATGGTTACCAGAGGAGGATCGAGTGCTGATGGAGTATGTGGAGTGTTATGGGGCTAAGAACTGGGGTAACTTGGTAACCAGGGGGCTGCTGAGACGCTCTGGGAAGAGCTGCAGGCTACGATGGGTGAACCAGCTGAAGCCGGGCCTGCAGGTACGGGATGAGTCGAACCAGATCTTTGAGCGAGGGGTCGATCATTGACCTAGACCACCACCTTGCAAGAGAATTTGTTCTTGAGTCGCTCCCATGCTGCCTATCTGGCTGCATTGCAGCTCTGTGTAGAGGATGTTAGCTCATTTGAGGCTGATTGGTTTTTGTCAGCTTATTTGATGCCAAAGGAAAACTTACAACAACTAGTCGGCCTCAAATAAGTTGACATCCTATACACAGAGCTGCAAAGCAGCCAGATAGGCAGCATGGGAGCTACTCAAGAAGAAACTCCCCCTCTGAATCATCTTCCTCACTTGGTCATAAATAGCACGGTGGTGGTCTAGGTCAATGATAGGCCCCTCACTGTCTAGGTCTATGATAGGCCCCTCGCTGTCTAGGTCAATGATAGACCCCTCGCTGTCTAGGTCAATGATAGACCCCTCGCTGTCTAGGTCAATGATAGACCCCTCGCTGTCTAGGTCAATGATAGACCCCTCGCTGTCTAGGTCAATGATAGACCCCTCGCTGTCTAGGTCAATGATAGACCCCTCGCTGTCTAGGTCAATGATAGACCCCTCGCTGTCTAGGTCAATGATAGACCCCTCGCTGTCTAGGTCAATGATAGACCCCTCGCTCGAGCTACTCCCCAACATCACCTGGATGCTGAAGAGTTGATTATAGTGCAGGGCACTGTTGCAAGTGGACGGTGGTTACGAGAGAAGCTGCAGGCATGGCAAGACAACGTTTTTCCAATTCTTGCAGTGTTCGTTTCCCACCCAATGTCACAGTGGATGCTGCTGACTCGGCATTACCAGTCCTCCTCCCACCAGCTTCCCTCTTTGCTCACTCCTTTCTGCCTCTTACGCCCTTCGTTTGCAGAGGTATGGTGGCAAGGGCTGCAAGCGGTTCACAGAACAGGAGTCCAACACAGTGCTCGCTCTGCAGGTAATGCACTTGGGATGTGAGGCGGCGTTCATATGCTGGCCGTGCAGTGCAGTCCGTCTCACCGCATGTGGACGCGCATACTCGATGAGTTGGGCTGCCAGCGGTTCACAGAGCTGGAGTCCAACACAGTGCTCGCTCTGCAGGTAATGCACTTGTGATGTGAGGCGGCGTTCATATGCTGGCCGTGCAGTGCAGTCCGTCTCACCACATGTGGATGCGCATACTCAATGAGTTGGGCTGCAAGCGGTTCACAGAGCAGGAGTCCAACACAGTGCTCGCTCTGCAGGTAGCGCACTTGTGACGCACTGCCCTCCATAAGTGCCACACCTATTCGTAAGTTAGGCTGCAAGCAACTCACATAGCAGGAGTCCACTGTCCAACCCTGTCCGCTCTGCAGGTGATACTCCACTGCTCTTTCGCTCTCAATCACACACCTGCCCAGCTGAATGACGACGCCAAGGGGCCTCCTTCTCTTGCCTTTCCCTTCACACGCCTTCTCCACCGCCTCCCCTTTGCCATTCTCACACCCGGTCCCCCCTCTCCCATCGCCTACCCCAATCAGGAGACGCTGGGCAACAAGTGGGCGGCGGTCGTGAGGCACCTGCCGGGGCGGACGGACGCCCAGAGACGTTTCCCCTTCTCACGCCCACTTCTCCCTCGCACTCCCCCTCCTCCCTTCCTTCAGGAGACGCTGGGCAACAAGTGGGCGGCGGTCGTGAGGCACCTGCCGGGGCGGACGGACGCCCAGAGACGTTTCCCCTTCTCACGCCCACTTCTCCCTCCCACTCCCCCTCCTCCCTTCCTTCAGGAGACGCTGGGCAACAAGTGGGCGGCGGTCGTGAGGCACCTGCCGGGGCGGACGGACGCCCAGAGACGTTTCCCCTTCTCACGCCCACTTCTCCCTCCCACTCCCCCTCCTCCCTTCCTTCAGGAGACGCTGGGCAACAAGTGGGCGGCGGTCGTGAGGCACCTGCCGGGGCGGACGGACGCCCAGAGACGTTTCCCCTTCTCACGCCCACTTCTCCCTTCCACTCCCCCGCCTCCCTTCCTTCAGGAGACGCTGGGCAACAAGTGGGCGGCGGTCGTGAGGCACCTGCCGGGGCGGACGGACGCCCAGAGACGTTTCCCCTTCTCACGCCCACTTCTCCCTCCCACTCCCCCTCCTCCCTTCCTTCAGGAGACGCTGGGCAACAAGTGGGCGGCGGTCGTGAGGCACCTGCCGGGGCGGACGGACGCCCAGAGACGTTTCCCCTTCTCACGCCCACTTCTCCCTCCCACTCCCCCTCCTCCCTTCCTTCAGGAGACGCTGGGCAACAAGTGGGCGGCGGTCGCGAGGCACCTGCCGGGGCGGTTGGACGCCCAGAGACGTTTCCCCTTCTCACGCCCACTTCTCCCTCCCACTCCCCCTCCTCCCTTCCTTCAGGAGACGCTGGGCAACAAGTGGGCGGCGATCGCGAAGCACCTGCCGGGGCGGACGGACAACGATGTGAAGAACTTTTGGAACCTGCACCTCAAGCGCTTGGAGCGCCTGCGCCGGCAGAGGGAGCAGAAAGGGGGCTGTGCTGCTAGTAAAAGTGATGCTGGTGGTGGCGGTGGTGGTGGTGCGGCTGAGAGTGAGGAGGCTGCTGCTAGTGGCAGTGCTGCTACAGCTGCTGCTGTTGCTGGAGGTTCTGGTGCTGGTGGTGCTGGTAGTAAAAGTGATGCTGGTGCTACTGCTGCTGCTGGAAACGGTGATGCTTGTGCTTCTTCTGGTGTTTCCCCCGCTGAAAATGCTGCAGTTTCTGCTACTGCTGCTGCTGCTGCTACTGCTGCTGCTGCTGCTAGTGCTGCAGCAGGCCCGTCGGCAAGGAATACAGGAGATTCGACCAATGAAGGTGCTGCAGGGAACGGTGCTGGGAGTGGTGCTGGGTCCAATGAAGACAGATATTGCCGTTTCAGAAGCAGGGGCTCAGAAGGTGGGGGGGAGCAGGAGGCAGTCAAGGATGGTGCGACAGCAGCTGAGGGAGTATCAGCAGGGGGGGACGTAGCAGCAAGCGCAGCAGAAGCAGCAGCAGCAGCAACAGCAGCAGCAGCAGCAGCAGCAATGACAGGACGAATGACCATGCAGGGCAGGAGCAGCAGCAGCAGCGGAAGCCTTGCTGTGATTGAGAGCACGAGCCTGCCTCCCTCCTTCTTCCTCTTCTCCCCGAGCTCCTTCACCTCCCCCATGTCTACCAGCCCGCTGCCCACCATCCAGGAAGGTTCTGACGCCTACCATGCCAGAGAAGGGCTGGATCTTGTTGTTCAGATGCAACAAGATGGGGGTTTAGGGTTTAAGGAGGTGCAAGGAGGTGTAGCATCTAATGCTTCACTGGAAAGAGGCGTGGTTGCGGCTGCTAATTGTGGTGGTGCTGCTGCATGTGAGGTCCCCTCAGTCCTGCTGCAGCAGCAGCAGCAGCAGCAGCAGCAGAACCAACAGCAGAACCAACAACAGCATCAACGGCAGCAGCAACAACACCAGCACGAGCACCAGCAGCAGCAACAGCAGCAGCAACAGCAGCAGCAGCAACAGCAGCAACAGCAACAGCAACAGCAACAGCTACAGCAACATCAACATCAACATCAACAGCAAAACCAGCAGCAACAGCAGCAGCAGCAGCAGCAGCAGCACCAGCAGCAACAGCAACAGAAGCAACAGCAACAGGAAGCAGCAGCAGCAGCAGCAGCAGCAGCAGCAGCAGCAGCAGCAGCAGCAGCAGCAGCAGCATCAGCAGTCAGCAGCTCAAGCATTCCCTGAGGCGCCTCAAAAGCTGAGGCACAGCCAGAGAACCATTCGGCAGCCCCCACTACCCCCCCCAGAAAAGCAGCTACACCAGCCGCCAGCGCAGGTGCCAGCATCAGCTGTGGCGCGGCCGCAGGCAGTGAGGCGCAGCAGGACAGGGGAGCAGCGGCCTAAGGTGTCTCTGCACCAGAGGAGGCTCCAGAGGAACGCCTCTGCCAGCGCTGTGGCTGGAAGCGGGGGTAGTGAGAGGGCTGCCAGTGGTGCTAGCGGTGGGAGCAGTGGGAGCAGTGGGAGCAGTGGGAGCAGTGGGAGTGGTGGGAGTGGTGGGCGTGGTGGGCGTGGTGGGGGGTCTGCGAGTGGTGCGAGTGGTGGGGAGGATGGTGGTGTGAGGGAGGGAGGGGATGGAGGAGGGGAGCAGCGGGTGCTGCGAGCGTGCAGTCTTCCGAATGTGCCCAGAGCTGGCAGCTGGAGGGACGGTGGAAGCTTTGGAGGGGCGAATGGGGGAAGGCTTGGAGGCGCGGATGGGGGGAGGTGGACCATGGGAGAGGCTGCAGCGGCTGCAGTTGCAGCTGTGGGTGAATGTCAGCAGGTTGAAGCAGCTGTTGCCTCTTCAGCGGCTGGTGATGCGGGTGCTGATCTCGCTGCTGATCCTGCTGTTGATCCTGCCGTTTATGCTGCTGCCAACGCACCAGGTTATGATCCTCGCGCTGTAGCAGCCAGCGGTAGCGCTTCACAGTTTTCCAATCCAGCTGCTCATTATCCGGCTGCACCTACAAATATCCCCCAACACCCCAAGCATCTGTCAGAACCGTCTACCACTGAAGAACGCTCGAACTCTCCTGTCGCTGCACCTCCTGGTACTGCACCGTTACACTCTGCAGCTGTAGGCTCTGCACCCGGAGCTCCTGATGCTGCTGCCAGTAGCTGTGGCGCTGGTGCTAGTGTTGGTGCTGATGGCACTGCTGCTGGTGCTGCTGCTGGTGCCGCTGCTGTTGGTGGTACTGATAGTGCCGGTGATATTGCTGCCGCTGGTGCTGCTGCAGCGGATGGGAATGCAGGTGCTGCTGGTGCAGCGGGGTCAGCAGAAGGGCCGGCAGCAATGGATATGGAGGACAGTGCAGAGAAGATCTCCTCCCTCAAGATTGGTGAGTGAACTTATCTGCCTCTTTTAGAGTCACTTTTGAGAATTCTCAGCAGAAGGGCCGGCAGCAATGGACACGGAGGACAGTGCAGAGAAGATCTCCTCCCTTAAGATTGGTGAGTCCATTTCATCTGCAGGTTGGCGCTGCCTTTCTATATTCCAAGTCCTATCCTTTGCCGCCCCTCTGCCCGCCCTCCTCTGTCCTTCCCTCCCTTCACCTCCCACCTCTTTGACCTTCCTCCCTTCTCTCCTGTTCCCACCCCTTCTGCGCCCCCCCTTTCCTCTCCCCCACAGACTGTCACAAGCCTGCCAGCAGCAACACCAGCAGCGGCCCAGCAGCCTCTGGCGAGTTTCTCAACATAGAGGACTGGCTGCAAACCCCCACTCCCCCCCCTCGTCGCACCCCCTGCTCGCCTTTCTACATCAACCTCTCCCCCACCGCCCGCCGCCTGCGCTCCCCCCGCTCCCCCTCCCCCCGCACGGTTGCTCAGCAGCAGCAGCACCCGCCTGCTTCCCCCCGCCCGCTTGCCTCGTGGTTCTCCCCCCGATCGGAACGCCTCCCTCCCCGCTCCCACCCGCACTCCCACTCACAGTCCCACCCGCACTCTCACAGTCACTCCCACTCGCATGCTCACTCGCAGAACCACTCTCACCATCACGCTTACTCGCATGGTAGGGCAGCTCTGCCTCCCCAGAGCAGCCGGGGCTACCGACAGCAGCAGCAGCAGCAGCAGTGGCAGCGGTGCCAGTGGTGGTGCTGGCAGTGGTAATGGAGATGGTGCTGCTGGTGCTGCTGGTGGGGCAACAGGGAGTGGGGGAAGCAGTGGCAGTGCTGGCAACTCAGGCAGTGATGGCAGTGCTGGTAGCGGTGGCAGCGGTGATTCTGCCACTGCTGCCATACCAGGCTCAGGCTCGGGCGCAGTCCCCTCAGACCACTCATCTCCTGCTGTCCCACTGCTTGACCCAAGTCCTACTCTCAGCCAGATTCCAACCCGAGCACTCGGCCACACTCCCAGCCAAGCTTTCGGCGAACCCGCAAGCCAGCGCAGCGGGCGGCGCAGTCCTCTGGGAGCACTCAAGATCGCCCATCGGTCAGGGTATCTCTGGTCCCCCCGTGCCGCCCACTCGCCCTGCACTACACACAACTCCTCTTCCTCCTCCCCTTCCCCCAGGCCTGGCGGATCTGGAAGCGCCCTCTCCACCCCTTCCCCCCGCAGCATGCTCTCCCCCTCCCCCCGCCCCTCCCCCCGTGGCGGATTGCCGTCCCCTTCCCCCCACAGCATGGCATCCCCCTCCCCTCGCTCAGTCCACTCCCCGTCCCCTCGAGCCTATGGCCGAACGGGGCTAGCTCTGCCATCTCCTCCCGCTCATCCCTCCTCCTCGGGTCCTCCCCCTCACCTGTCCTCCTCCTCACGCCCTGCCCGGTCTCGCAGCAGCAGCCCGTGCCCACGCCTGCCCAACAGCCCACTGCGTCCCCGTGAGAGTACAGCTGCTGCTGCTGCTGCCTCCCATCCGCCTGCTGCTCCTTCCTGTCTTGGGGTACCTGCTTCCAGTGCAAGCGCGAGTGCAAGTGCAAGGGACAAAGAAAGGTCTGCTCCTAGTGCACACGCAAGTGCAAGTGGAAGTCATAGAGAAGGGGGTGGTGGTGGATACGGGCAAGGTGAGACAGGGAGGCATGGTGCCGCCGTGCATGCTCCATCGGTTGGTGCTGCTGGAAACCACACACGACAGCCTGTTGACCCACTTGACCCAGTTGACCAAGGTGACTTAGCTGACCCAGTTAGCGCAGTTGTTCCAGACTCCAAGAGAGGTGTCAGCTCCGATCCCGCAACTTGCCAGCCTCAGCCTCAACCGCAGCAACAACAGCATCTGTGGCAGGAGAAGGAGCAGCAGCAGCAGCAGCAGCAGCAGCAGCAGCAGCAGCAGCAGCAGCAGTGGAAGGAGCAGGTGGCAGAAGAATTGCAGGAGGAGGAGGAGCAGCAGCAGCAGCAGCAGCAGATGCCACAGGTGCCACAGATGCCGCAGAGAATAGTGCAGCAGATCTTACCATCCGCTGCGGAACTAGAACCAGCCTTGCCCGCATACTCCAGCCAATCATTGTGGGGCTTTGTAGCAGAGATCGACGGCCCAGATGCATTCGCTGGAGGAATGGGCACAGAGGAGGATGATGCTGCTAGTGGGGGGGGCTTTCAGGAGTCGCTTTCAATGGCTGCAGGACAGGGGCAGACAGCCGCATCGCTTGACATGCATGATATTGAACAACTCCTTATGGGGGATGATTGTGCTGCTGCTGACATGTCGGGCTGTGATTGGCCCAGCAGCGTTGGAAACCCTGGGATGGGGACTGGCCCTGGAGGGATCATAGAAGCTGGAGAGATTCTGGAGGGAGGAGAAACAGGAGCTGCAGTAGGAGTAACAGAGGCTGCAATAGGGGTAACAGATGCTGCAGTAGCAACTGCTCTGAGTGAAACATCTACGGCTGGGGATGTGGCAGATGTGAGTGCAGTGGGGCATCTACTCTTTGATGATTCGTCAGCCATGCAGCAGCTGAGCGCTGATTGGCTGACTGATTTCCAGAGGAGCAATTACGCTGCCTTCACCCCTGAGAATGGGGCTGCCCTGGCGCCTGGGGCAACGGCTGCAGCACAGCAAGCAGTCCACTCATCAGCTGAGCATGCAACTGGAATGGCGTCATTTGGGGGAACCTCTGTGCCAGTGCAGCAGGGGGTGTGGCAACTTGGAGCTGCTAAAGGCAGGCAACTCAGTCAAGATGGGACTGCTGGTGGAGGAGAATATCACTGGGGCCAGGGCTTTGTTCCTTGAAATGTCATTGACATCTTTTGGTGAAGCATGATGTTGCTGATGCAAGCATCATTGGATTCAGGACTTCAAATTGTCTAGTCCTTGATCCTGCAGGAAGTAAGAAATCAGTTGCAGGAGTCTATTCAGTGTTGCACATTAGTAATGTTACCTTAGGTGTAAGGGGAGGCTTTTGTTCAGCTGTCCAGTCTTGCTTTTTCTTAGTACTGCATCTTTCCATTCCACAATGGAGTTACAATGTAGAACAGGCCAGGATGCCTTGGAAGCTGTGGTGTGGTACTGGCCATGTTGGTTGCCCTTCAGAACCCAATCACTGCATGCAGAGGGAGTGAATTAGGCACTAAGAACAGGACAGTACATCAACAATAGCAATCGATACCAAAATGGCCGAGACTAAGCCCCACGCCTCCGTGGCATTCGGCCTAGGCAGCAGAACAGTCGCAGGAGCAGTACAGCGGTCGAGGAGGTTTAGATGATGCCAATCTTGTTGGCGATGTCCAGCGCGTCGTAGTCTGCTGTGAGCCGCACGTACGCCTTCTTCTGTCCGTCAGGCCTGCCACGTCACAGGGGGACAGTACATCAGGGTGATGGAAATTGGGGGGGGAAGAGGAGATTAAAATGTTAGATGGCGGGACTACCCAAGTGCAAGCAGCGAACGTCATTCATGCTACCACTCCAATCAAGTCCTGATTATGCCTATCTTTGCCCCTAAAAGTAGGTTCTATCTCCAGATGCCTGATGCTCAAGCTATCAGAATAATCTCCTGAGTTTCCTCCATCAGTGAGTGTTACAGGGATGACACACACACACACTCACACACACACACACACACACACACACACACCCCCCCCCCCCCCCCCCCCAAGGAAAACGACATACCTGATGAGAGTGTTGATCTTCTTGCACTGGATGTCGTACATCTTCCTGACAGCCTCCTTGATCTGCCTCTTGGTGGCCAGCAGATCCACAATGAACACCAGCGTGTTGTTGTCCTCAATCTTCTTCATTGCGGACTCAGTCGTCAGCGGGAACTTCAGCACCTGGGAGGACAAGTCAGTGAGGACGTAATGAATGGATAGAAAACGGAGATTTCCGTAACCTGGAAGACTGCTACTCCTTGATCTGCCTCTTGGTGGCCAGCAGATCCACAATGAACACCAGCGTGTTGTTGTCCTCAATCTTCTTCATCGCCGACTCCGTCGTCAGTGGGACGAATGATTAGCAGGAAGATGACAGAGAAACACAGAGCGAGAATGTCAGAAGCATGACAATGTTGACCTCAATCTTCTTCGTCACCGAACATTCAGCACCTGCAAGCATGAGAAATTAGCGGGATCAAGAACAGAGGGGAAAGGTAAGAAAACGTCAGCATCGTGACAATGTTGTTGACACAAATCTTCATCCCTTACTCCGTGATCATAAGGACCTTCAGCACCTGGTGGAACGGGGAAGCAGCGAGAATGAGTCAGCGAAAAACTTCGGCACGAGAATGTAAGCGACGTACAACTTGGCTGTATCCCGCATACTCAGAAGTGACTGTCAGCATATTCATCCATGACGCTGGGTTATTTTCACTCAGAATGGCTCTGAAAGTCCTCCTGAAACGCGGGTCTCGGAATCTCTATAGCTAGCCGCTTTAATGAACGACAGCTTGGAATGTCTGTGACAAGTCGTCCAAAAAATCTACGAATCTCCGAGTTCTTCTGAAAAGTTGTTTGAGTGATCGGCAGCTTGGAATGACTCGGACCAGGCGTTCAAAACCTCGACGGTCTGAAGAAGTCTCTGACCCGACGTTAAGAAGATTAACGGTCTTCAGATGCTTCGGATTCGTCGTTCAAAAACGCAGCTATCGGGATGTCCTGACTACCCTTAGAGAACCTAGAATCGCGGAATGCCGATGAATGGTCAGTCAGCTGTCTAAGCTATCGCCATCACGTCGCCATTATAAGGACGAAATTACCGACGAGCGTGAATTCAACCACCTAGAGAGTGACGGTCCTTTTAGGAACACCAGCGCCTACTCCTAGTCGTCGTAGAACTTCTCGTGATGAGAGCGAATGGTAGCGATCTCCATTTGCTAATCAAAAGGTCAGCGTCAGCAACACGCAGCGCCATCGTGCGACAAGAAGCCACTAACCACCTTTCGCTTGCAAACTTCGCAGAACCTCGAAAATATCGTGCAAGCTACTCGTCCCTTGAAGCTTGTCATCTCCAAAGTGGACCCTAATCTGACTAAAGAAGGCTGACTCTTCCACCACCGACCTGCTCCCCCCATTTAGAAAGTCAGGACGATAGGCATCAAACGACAATATGCAAAGAGAAACAGAGGGTCATGCGAAGATCCCACACCTGGAACTGGTTGAGCTTCTGCATGGGAGATTCTGGGGTACTTGTGGCTCCAAGCCTTTTTCAGAATTCTTTTTGTAGACTCATGAACACGCTAACTCAACACACGAACGAAAGGTGATGCGAATATCTACTCACCCGAAACTGGTCGAGCTTCTGCATGGGAGGAGCCGAGATTCTGGGGTACTTGGGGCTGCGAGCCTTCTTCAGGGTCTTGGGCCGGTGGAAGTGCACGGACGTCCGGACCTTGAGGATCTTCTTCCGGCTCGTCTTCTTCAGGGCCTTCGCGGCCTTTGCGGCTTGTGCCTTGGCATCGGGCTTGCCTGGTGAATGAAACAAGGGTAAGAGAGCCACCAAAATTATTGACCGATACGGGGAAAACGTACTTTGATATAGACTGTTCCGCGTGACACTGATGCACGCAATGTAAACCAGTCGGATCGATGATGACCACGTACGGTACGACTGGTATCTGTTTCTTCGACCCTAACATCCGTGTCGCAGATACTAGAAAAAACCGAGAAGGAAAATCCCGCACGAGTTGCATCAACGAACACCTTCGAGGGTCACGGAAACACCGGCTGGCTAAAAGAAACCCTAATCTAACAGCTGACGACGTTTTGCTGCATTTCTGCCCTAATTTTCCTCTCTGACGAATCTACAAGTCTGACACAACCCCGGACGGAAACCCGAAACATCAGTTACACGAAGCGTAACATTGTCGCGCCCTCACCTTTGGGCGCCATGGCTACTTCTGCGACTAGACGGTGTGAAAGTTACAGAGAAGGGACCACCCCTGGGCAGAAAGGAAGGTGGAATAGGTGAGAAACAGGGCTTTGAAAACGTAGCCACCAAGTCCAGTCAGAGAGGTGCGAGCGAAACAGTTCTCAAGGGAGGAAGGTGCGGGAAGGGGAGGTTCAAGAGAAGCAAGGAATTAAAGATGTTATTCAATACAGTGCCGAAAGAAACTGAAATGTCCAGAGCAGAAACGAGAAGTGGCGTACCGAGGACATTACTCGCTCGGTCATTTGGGATTTGCGGATGGGCTCGCGTCCTTGCAGCAATAAAGTGAAAGAACGAGCACGGTGAAGTACACTAATGGATAGAATACATCAACAAAGACCACTTATGTAAGTCAGCTTGTATATAAAAGAACGTACATAGGCTGGAAATTCATTCTTCCCTTCCGGGTATAATAGATCATTGCAGTTTCGTCTAAGCAGCAAGAACGGCTGCAAGGTCTTCTGACTTGCCTCGCACATAGATAGTGTACACCAGCCGAATTGCATCCACCCAAGCATCCATGGAGTCCCAATCGTCCGCCACCTGCAGGCACCACAATAGAAAAGGCGAAACCGTGTGGAAAGCACGGAAGCTGCCAATATTGTTTTTCCAGTTTCCTGATTATCACAAACAAACGCTTACAGCCTTTTAAAGACTGCACTCACCATGTAAAATGGTCCATCTACAGTGTCCAGCACAATGCCTCCTCCAGCCGGCAGGCTGAGATCAGCACAAGCCTCCACTGACACAATCTGGCCGATGTCCACTTGAATCGGAGGAGGCGGCAGCGCAGATACTCCGTCATCCATGCTCGAAGACAATTTTGGCCGCCCACCCACGGCATCAGACGACCACCTTCCCCCTTCTGACGTGGCAGCAGCTGAACCAGGGGTTCCGGCATTGGTGGGCGCGGCAGGTGCGGCAGCAGTGGGGGGAGCAGGCTCAGGATTTTGGACGATTGAAGCTGTTACAGAGGTCTGGGAGTGGGCTGTGTTGCGGCGGGAGGTCAGGTTGCTGTGGGGCTGCTTAGGCTCGGGCTTCTTGCCCTGGAGGCATTGAGAGGGAGGGATGAAAGGGGGGGGAAATTGGGCTCACGCACCAAGTGAGAGGAGAATGAGAAGAGAATGTGCGGTGAGGGCGAGGCGAATTTGAGGGAGAATGTGAGGAGAAAACTTTACACAGCACGGCCCCTAGCAGCAGGGACCTCAACACGACGTTTTCAGGCACCAAACCAGTTGACTCAAGCACGCACCTCCTTGAGCCGCTCATGGTCCAGCACAACCCAGAGCAACACAGAGCATCATCAGCAGGAGCAACATCAGAACAAGGCCCACCGCCACACTTGATAGAGCGTCAACCAGCATACCTGACACCACCCGCTTACGCACCTCCTTGAGCCGCTCATGGTCCAGCACAAACCAGAGCCTGAGCCACTCCGCATGGGGAGCCAATGAGTTGCCGCCAGGTGGCACTGTGAGGTAGCCGCCCTTGAGATAGGGGAGAGGCAGCTGAGCATGCACAAGTGTAAGTGGTGAGAGGGAGAAAAAACGGGGTGGGGAATGAGTTGAGTTGCTGCTGACCACTAATGAAAAAAAAAAAAAAAAAAAAAAAAAAAAAAGACTTTACATGGGGATGGGTTTCCTCTGATGGCATGGTAGTGGCACTGAGCTGACTGAAAAGTCGCCTTGAAAAGCACGGAAAACATAGCGAATTCACAGCATGTGCACGTGCATGTGCATGTGAGTGTGCATGCATCTAAACATGCATGCATGTGGGTGTGCATGTGCTTGTGCATGTGTCATACTGAGCTCACCATGGTTCGCACGAGCCTGAGGGCATTGCGATACACCTGAGGCATTCCAGAGGGGAAAGGA